ATCACAATTTTTCATATCATAAAATAAATTATTTAATAGTGTAAACAAGTAGGCGAAACAGCCTATATGACTAATTGGTATCATTTGCCACATAAAACGGCTCGTGATCTGATCTTAATTATCTCCCGATCAAGTAATGCGATCAAATTAACTGCAGGGAAACTAATTCATCTTTCGATCGAAACCTTTGGTAATGTGAGTGCACGAAAATGTACGTTACGTTTTTATAGCTAAATATATATTCAAAATGTTTTAGGTGATGAGAACCTCCATGATATATCTAAACATGCTTCGGACTGTGACAGCTTCTTAGACAATAATAGTTACACTTTGTACAAAGTTATCATTTTGTACAAAACATTAACAAATTTTCTAGTTACCACCGTAACTTTACTTATATTTGAATAACTGTACAAATTACTAATAAAATATAAGATATCTTCTGTCTAGATCATTTCTAAATCCTGAAAATATAATAATAAATATAAGTTGTTAACAATTAACCAAACTGTAGAATTGTAATGAGTACAGAAATTCAAATAAAATATAAATAAAGATATTCGAGCCGAGCTTAATATATTTTTTGGCTATTAAATATATCGATATTAAAAAAATCTATGTAGAAAATGACGAAACAAACATTTTGACCTTTATGATTGACCTAATATAGTTATCTAATAATAAAGTGTACTATCTTATCTTTGAATTATATATGTAGGTCTTATATTTGAATAACAGTAAATTAATGTTTTCGCAACTACGTGTCAATTCGATTACGAGACATCCCGTGTAGCGTATTCCACGACTATCGATCGATTGACGAGACGTATACAAATATCCTATTACTAAGTTGCTCGCTGGCGCAGGCGCCACTTTCTATCAATTGCACGTGCGTTGGTGCGTTTAAGTCGATTCAGTAGCATCCGCGCTTTCAATGAGCAATCATGAATGTCAGTGAACCTGTTATGTCACACCGTGACGCGAGTGATTACAGTATTCAGTTGAATCGTTGGTTTCTAAAACCGGTGGGCGCCTGGCCAAATTCAGCTTCGACACCAGTCAGAGAAAAGGTGATTTCAACAATACTGATAATCATCTGTTACTCGCTGATAGCCTTCACGGTCATACCTTGTATCCTGAACATCCTATTCGAAGAGACTGATGTGCAGAAAAAATTAAGAGCTGTTGGTCCGTTAAGTCACTGGTGCATGGGCGGCATGAATTATTTCTCCTTGCTGTTTCGCAGTCGCGATATACATCATTGCGTGGAGCACATAAAGACCGACTGGCGGATGGTAACGGAGATCGGGGACCGGCAGGTGATGCTGAAATATGCTAAAGTCGGCCGTTTCGTTGCCGGGTTGTGTGCAATTTTCATGCATGGTGGAGTATTCTCGCATAGCGTACTTCAGGGTACAACGCCGACGTTCGAATATATCGGGAATGTGAGCGTATCGGTGCATGTGTTACCGTGTCCCTCATACAGTAAGTTCGTTGATACCACGCAGAGCCCAGCAGGCGAGATTGCGTTAACGCTGCAGCTCATCTCCAGTATCGTCGTCAATTCCATCACAGTTGGCGCCTGCAGTCTCGCAGCAGTGTTCGCGATGCACGTGTGCGGCCAGTTGAGTGTACTGATGAGATGGTTGGATCAGTTGAATGATCGAAAGCAGCAAGGCACGGTACAACATCGATTGGCGATTATTGTGGAGCAACATCTAAGAGTGTTAAGGTAATACCGACATAAATTTAAAAAGTCTTAATTGGTATTCCTGTGTGTGGTACTGAATGAATAAAAAATACAATTTTTTATACTTATCTTTGATTCTTAAGCTAATCTAAAAATTTATTTTCTCACTCTTTTTTCCTTCTTTCAATAATATAAATTAGTTCCAAAAAAATAATATTTATACGTAATATAATATTTATATGTAATAATATAATTTTAATTTACAGTTTCGTGGCGCGGATGGAAGCACTTTTATATCAGATATGTTTTGTGGAATTGCTAGGATGTACGTTTAACTTATGTATGCTTGGATATTACGTCATTACGGTACGCTAAAAAATTAAAAAGGTGAATATGTAATTAAGAAATATCGCATTGTGTGATGTTTCATTTTTTAAATTACAATATGAAAGATGCATATGCAAGAAATAATTAATCGCAGAGGAAGTATTATTATAATATAATCAATAGCGAGAGTATGTGTCGCGACATCTTTATTTGCAAATCACTAATATTTGCAAATTACATGATTTACTGTCACATTCTCAGTGTCAAGAAGCGCCAAATTTCGAAAGTAAACTATTAAATACTAAAAATAAATTATTAATATTTTCAAACTAAATACATACTAAAAATAAAATAAATGATTTAGTTCATAATAAGTTTATTTGTAATTTCACTTTAATATTTATTGTATATAATAAAGAAAATAAGAATCATTAATTGTGTTCAGCAGATTAAACTATTGCGGAGCGGATCCGTAAACGTTCGCTGTTATTGATGTATTCTTCTAGATCTTCCAATAGCTGTGAGCGTTCACGGATCCGCTCCTCAATAGCTCAATCTTTTGAACCATTTCTGGCTGTGTTCCAAATTTATTGCCGATACTGAAAATGCGACAGTTTACATCTGCACTATAGATATTCAGTACAGCCAGTCAATTTTGGAACATAGCCTCTATTGTAAGCGTGAATCTGACCGCGTAATTTGACCTGATCAGAAAGTTATGCCGCCATATTATTAGTACAATTTTTCATGCATATACTATCAGATATTGGCTCACGATTTTTTACTGGTAATGTGTACATTATATTGTTATATTATATATACATTATTATTTGAACGTATCAATAAAATTTAATTATGTTAAACAATAATAATAAGAAAAATTATTAACATATTATTCAATAATTTTCAGGGATGGAATGTAATAGAAAAAACAACATCAGTAGCTTATATGATTATTTACATATCCATGACTTTCAATGTCTTTATATTCTGTTATATTGGCGAAATTGTCACGGAACAGGTAAAATAAAAGTTACGAATTGTATAGTGCAATATTCGCAAGGATTTATAAATTAAAAAAAATAAGCCAATTTTTCATATTATAAAATACATAATTTGACAGTGTAAACAAGTAGGCGAGGCAGTTTATATGACGAATTGGTATCATTTGCCACATAAAACGGCTCGAGGTCTCATCTTAATTATTTCTCGATCGAGTTGTGTGATCAAATTAACTGCAGGAAAACTAGTTCATCTTTCTATTGCAACTTTTGGTGATGTAAGTATACCAAGTGTATGTTACATATATTATATTTTTTACAGCCAAATATATGTTCAAAATATTTTAGGTGATGAAAACCTCCATGATATATCTAAACATGCTTCGGACTATAACAGCTTCTTAGACAATAATAGTAACACCATTTTGTATAAAGCGTTAGAAAATTTTCTAGTTATCACTATAACTTTATATATTATATTTAAATAACGGTATAAATTATTAATAAAATACAGAGGACATTTAGAATAGATATAGTATATTTCTGTATCAAAAAATAATATAAATAAATAAAAATTATTAAGAATTAAATTGAAGCAAATTGTAAGGATCTAATGAAATAAATTCAAATAATAAGTAAATGAAGGCTATTTTAGTCGAGCTTTTCTCAATAAATATCGATATTTAGTAAGAAATGATAAATCGAACATTTTGATCTTTAATATAGTCATCGTCTGTGTCACAATAAGTATAACATTCTAAAAATATCCATAGAAATTTACTATGACTGTAAAAATATATATAGTTTACCTGCACATTAATCTATTATGGTAAGCTAAAAATATGAATATATATTATCAGCACTTTGGAATGTCTTTATTTAGAAAATGTTAATATTAATTACGATTTTCCAGAATTGGAGTTATTTTGAACGCGAATGACATCGTATATTATCGTATACATATCTATGGCTCAATATCATCATTGGCGAAATTTACACGTAACAGGTAATTCCTCGACGTTTATGATAACTTTTTAGAATCATCCAAATTATTATGCTTAAGAATGTACATAAGTTCCTTACTTAACTTCTGTGTGGAGCATAGAACTTCTAATGAAGTTCCAATAACAATGAAGTTATTTCAGAATTAGATTGCTAGTCTAATGTTCAATCCCCCCCTCAATCTGAGGAAAAGTCTACAGTTTGATGCTGGATTCAAATTGGCGCTGATGATCAAAAGTCTCTTAATCACCAAGTGGAGCCATTTTAGGCTCCTAAAAATCGTGTATGTAGGTGAAAGTGGTTAAACTCGGATTTACAGGTCGCGAGTCGACACCTCATGCTTAACAATAATACTATTTAATTATTTTATGTTTAAAAAATCGTTTAACGATTTGAACTTTGATTTGTGTATTGTTTCTTAATTGCTTTTCATATTTTTGAAAATATAAAAAACGCTTACATAGAAATTTTACGAATATCTATATTAATTAATTTATTAGTGTAAAAATGTTGGTAAAAAGGCATATATGACTAATTGGAACGAATTATCACATTAAAATGCTCTGGATCTATTATTCTAATATTCTCGATTGAATATCATTATTGAGAGAATATCATATCTGGAGATAGTGGAGATTATTACAATTGTCAATCGCTACTTTAGCTGATGTAATTAAAACGTAAATATATAAACGTATATATATATATAATAAATAGAAAATTATTCTTAATTTTAATATTAAAAAAATAAATATTTCTTACACGAGAGATGAGGTTATAAAAAAGAGTGTCATCTTGAAATTACACGGGTATTTTTCTAAAAGGAACTAATTTCTTTCCTGTTTAATATTCCCGAAAGATAACGATCGAAACATAACAATGAAGTTTACATATTATTTATATAATAAAGTTTACAGATCTACTTGAATTACATACAAAAGTTTCACATTTAAAAAGCAATAAATTTATGCGTCGCGAATATATGTTATAACACATTTATTTTATGAGACACCACGTGCAGTACTCCGTGAGTATCGATCGACTGACGAGACGCACAAATATCCTATTACCTATTACTGTAGTTACTCCCTGGCGCAGGCGCTGCTTTCTGTGAACTGCACGCATGTTTAAGTCGATTCAGTAGCATCCGCGCGTTCTGTGAGTAATCATGGAAATCAATGAACGTGTCATGTCACATTTGGACGCGAGTGATTACAGTATTCAGTTGAACCGATGGTTCCTAAAACCAGTGGGAGCTTGGCCAAGTTCGGCCTCAACGACCATCAAAGAAAAGGTGATTTCAATAGTACTGATAATCATCTGCTATTCATTGATAGGCTACACGGTCATACCTTGCATCTTGAACATCCTGCTCGAAGAAACCGATATGCATAAAAAGTTACAAGCTGTTGGTCCGTTAAATCACTGGAGTATGGGCGGCATGAATTACTTCTCACTGTTGTTTCGCAGCCGCGATATATACCGTTGCGTGGAGCACGTGAGGACTGATTGGCGGATGATGACAGATACAGAAGACCGGCAAGTGATGCTGAAATATGCCAAATTTGGCCGTTTTGTCGCTGGATTGTGCGCAATTTTCATGCATGGCGGTGTGTTCTCGCATAGCGTGATGCAGGGCATCATGCCTACATTTGTATATATTGGGAACGTGAGCGTGTCAATACATGTATTACCGTGTCCCACGTACAGCAAGTTCATAGATATTACGAAGAGCCCAGCGGGCGAAATTGCGTTTACCGTGCAGCTCATCTCGAGCATCGTCGTCAATTCCGTCACCGCCGGTGCCTGCAGTCTCGCAGCGGTGTTTGCGATGCACGCGTGTGGCCAGTTAAATATATTGATGAGATGGCTGGACCAGTTGGACGATCGAAAGCAGCAGGATATGGTACAGCATCGATTGGCAATCATTGTGGAGCACCATCTGAGAGTGTTAAGGTAATATCGATATAAATTCAAAAGTTAATATTTCTGCTTGATGTATAAAAAATAAAATCTTTTATATTTTGATGCCTTTGAGCCAATCAAAAGCTATGTGTCTCATCTGATTCTCTTTTTTCTTCTCTTAATATATTATAATTTAGTTCCAAAAAAAGTTTATATATGTAAAATATGATTGTAATTTACGTTACTTACAGCTTCGTGGCACAAATGGAAGCACTTTTAAATCAGATATGTTTTGTAGAAGTGCTAGGATGTACGTTTAACTTATGTATGCTCGGATATTATGTCATTACGGTACGCTAAAAAATTAAAAAGGTGAATATGTAATTAAGAAATATCGCATTGTGTGATGTTTCACTTTTTAAATTACAATATGAAAGTCGCATATGCAAGAAATAATTAATCGCAGAGGAAGTATTATTATAATATAATCAATAGCGAGAGTATGTGTCGCGACACTTTTATTTGCAAATCACCAATATTTGCAAATCACATGACTTACTGTCACATTCTCAGTGTCAAGAAGCGTCAAATTTCAAAAGTTAACTATTAAATACTAAAAATAAATTATTAATATTTTCAAACTAAATATTAGGTATAGTAAAAAAAAATCCATTATTTTTCCAATAGATCGCTTTAGTAATCTATTAGAAAAATAATGGATTTCTTTTTACTACACCTAATACATACTAAAAGTAAAATAAATGATTTAGTTCGTAATAAGTTTATTTGTAATTTCACTTTAATATTTATTGAATATAATAAAGAAAATAAGAATCATTAATTGTGTTCAGCTGATTAAACTGTTGCGGAGCGGATCCGTAAGCATTCGTTGCTATTGATGTATTCTTCTAGATCATCCAATAGCTGTGAGCGCTCATGAATCCGCTCCTCAACAGTTCAATCTTTTGAACCATTTCTGGCTGTGTTCCAAATTTATTGCCGATACTGAAAATGCGACAGTTTACATCTGCACTATAGATATTCAGTACAGCCAGTCAATTTTGGAACATAGCCTCTATTGTAAGCGTGAATCTGCCCGCTTAATTTGCCCTGATAAAAAAGTTATCCCGCCATATTATTAGTACAATTTTTCATGCATATACTCTCAGATATTGGCTCACGATTATTACTGGTAATGTGTACATTATATTGTTATATTATATATACATTATTATTTGAATGTATCAATAAAATTTAATTATGTTAAACAATAATAATAAGATAAATTATTAACATATTATTCAATAATTTTCAGGGATGGAATGTAATAGAAAAAACAACGTCAGTAGCTTATATGATTATTTACATATCCATGACTTTCAATGTTTTTATATTCTGTTATATTGGCGAAATTGTCACGGAACAGGTAAAATAAAAGTTACGAATTGTATAGTGCAATATTCGCAAGGATTTATAAATTAAAAAAAATAAGCCAATTTTTCATATTATAAAATACATAATTTGACAGTGTAAACAAGTAGGCGAGGCAGTTTATATGACGAATTGGTATCATTTGCCACATAAAACGGCTCGAAACATGCTTAGGACTATGACAGCTTCTTAGACAATAATAGTTACACCATTTTGTATAAAGCGTTAGCAAATTTCCTAGTTATCACTATAACTTTATATATTATATTTAAATAAATTATTAATAAAATACAGAGAACATCTAGAATATATAGTATATTTCTATATCCTGAAAAAATAATATAAATAAATAAAAATTATTAAGAATTAAATTGAAGCAAACTGTGAAGGATCTAATGAAATAAATTCAAATAATAAATAAATGAAGGTTATTTTAGTCGAGCTTTTTTCTAAATATATCGATACTCAATAAGAAATGATAAACCGAACGTTTTGATCTTTAATATAGTCATCGTCTGTGTCACAATAAGTATAAAATTATAAAAATATCCATAGAAATTTACTATGATTCTTATGACTATAAAAATATATATATAGTTTAATAAAAATATATAGTTTACCTGCACATTAATCTATTATGGTGAGCTAAAAATATGAATATATATTATCAGCACTTTGTAATGCCCTTATTTAGAAAATGTTGATACTAATTACGATTTTCCAGAATTGGAGTGATTTTGATGGAGCACGAATGACATCGTATATTGTCGTATACATATCTATGGCTCAATATCATCATTGGTGAAATTCTCACGTAACAGATAATTCCTCGAAATTTATGATAACTATTTAGAAATATTCAAATTATTATGCTTAAGAATGTACATAAGTTCCTTATTTACTTCTGTATGGAGCATAGAACTTCTAATGAAGTTCCAATAACAATGAAATTTTTTTAGAATTAGATTGTTAGTCTAATGTTCAACCCCCCAATTTGAGGGGAAATCTACAGTTTGCTGCTGGATTCAAATGGCGCTGATGATCAAAAGTCTCTTAATCACCAAGTGGAGCCATTTTAGGCTCCTTAAATGCGAAAAATCGTGTATGCAGGTGAAAGTGGTTGAACCCGGATTTACAGGTCGCGAATCGACACCTCATGCTTAACAATAAGTCTATTTAATTATTTTATGTTTAAAAAATCGTTTAATGATTTGAACTTTGACTTGTGTATTGTTCCTTAATTGCTTTTCATATTTTTGAAAACATAAAAAATGCTTACATAGAAATTTTATGAATATCCATATTAATTAATTTGTGTAAGAATGTGGGCAAAAAGGGATATATAACTAATTGGAACGAATCACATTAAAATGCTCTGAGTCTATCATTCTAATATTCTCGATTGAATACTATCATCGAGAGAATATCACTGGAGATAGTGGAGATTATTGCAATTGTCAATCACTATTTTAGCTGATGTAATTAAAACGTAAACCATATTTATATAATAAATAGAAAATTATTCTTAATTTTAATATTAAAAAAATAAATATTTCTTACAGGAGAGATGAGGTTATAAAAAAGAGTGCCATCTTAAATTACACGGGTATTTTTCTAAAAGAAAATAATTTTTCTTCTGTTTAATATTCCCGAAAGATAACGATCAAAACACAATGAAGTTTACATATTATTTGTTTAATAAAGTTTACAAATCTACTTGAATTACATATAAAAGTTTCACATTTAAAAAGCAATAAATTTATGCGTCGCGAATGTATGTTATAGCAAATTTATTTTATGAGATATTTTATGAGGTACCGTTTATGAGACACCACGTGCAGCGTACTCCGTGAGTATCGATCGACTGACGAGACGCACAAATATCCTATTATTAACTATTACTGGTTGCTCGCTGGCGCAGGCGCTACTTTCTATCAATTGCACGTGCGTTTCAGTAGCATTCGTGCGTTCCATGAGCAATCATGAATGTCAATGACCCTGTCATGTCACAAAGGGACGCGAGTGATTACAGTATTCAATTGAATCGTTGGCTCCTAAAACTAGTGGGCGCTTGGCCAAGTTCAGCCTCGACAACAGTTAGAGAGAAGGTGATTTCAACAATACTGATAATCATCTGCTACTCGTTGATAGCCTACACGATCATACCTTGTATTCTGAACATCTTGTTCGAAGAGACCGATGTGCAAAAACAATTAAGAGCTGTTGGTCCATTAAGTCATTGGTGCATGGGTGGCATGAATTATTTCTCACTGCTATTTCGCAGAAGCGATATACATCGTTGCGTGGAGCACGTGAGGACCGATTGGCGGATGATGACAGAGATAGGAGATCGTCAAGTGATGCTCAAATATGCTAAATTTGGTCGTTTTGTTGCTGGATTGTGCGCAATTTTCATGCACAGCGGTGTGTTCTCGCACGGCGTGCTGAGGGGAATGATGCCGACATTTGTATATATCGGAAACGTGAGCGTGTCAGTGCAGGTATTACCATGTCCCACGTACAGCAAGTTCGTAGATATTACAAAGAGTCCGGCAGGCGAAATCGCATTAACTGTGCAGCTCCTTTCGAGCATCGTTGTCAATTCCGTCACGGCGGGCGCCTGCAGTCTCGCAGCGGTGTTTGCGATGCACGCGTGTGGCCAATTGAATGTACTGATGAGATGGTTAGACCAGTTAGACGATCGAAAGCAGCAAGATATGGTACACCATCGATTGGCAATCATTGTGGAGCACCATCTGAGAGTATTGAGGTAATACCGATATAAATTTAATGTTGATATTTCTATTTGATGTATAAAGAATAAAATCTTTTATATTTTAATATTTCTGATCTTTAAGCCAATCCAAAATTTTATCATATCTGACTCTCTTTTTCCTTCTCTTAATAATATATTATAATTTAGTTCCAAAAAAAATTTATATATGTAAAATATGATTGTAATTTACGTTGCTTACAGCTTCGTGACACAAATGGAAGCACTTTTAAATCAGATATGTTTTGTAGAATTGCTAGGATGTACGTTTAACTTATGTATGATTGGATATTATGTCATTACGGTACGTAAAGTATTACAAAAGTGAATGTGTAATTGAAACATATCGACATTAACTTTTCACACTTAAATAAATTGCAAAATGAAAGACGCACATGCAATAAATAATTATCACAATATAATAGCCACAGAAAAAATTGCCACAATACAACCAAGCGACAGCAAGCACGATGTTGTAATTTGAGAATAACATAACTGTCATATCTTTGGTGTAAAGAAGCATTAAATTTCAGAAAATAAGTGTTAATAATTATAATTTGAGTTTGGACCGATGAAAATAAATCTATTCAAATAAAAGAAAATCCTATTTTCAGTCGAAGCGAATTTAACGCGTAAATATTTCAGTGAAAATTCATGTACAAGTCCATTCTGCATACTCTCTTTGCGAGCCGACATTTTTCGGTCTTGAACAGAATCATGCATCGCAATCATGAACAGAATTAGAAAGTAATATATTGAATTGACTTGATTGTTCTTGTAAGGTAAGATTATTAGTATTAGAATTATTACATTCATGTTGTTCATTAAATATTAAACAAGAGTAAATGGTACGAGTAAATGTAAATCTGTGGCTGTGATGTAAACAGCAAGTAATGTCGTCAGACGGTAATTTTTCCTGCATGTGTTCTCCATTTTTGAACCATGATCTTTATCTACTGTCGTTACTGGATATACTGTGGCATTGCATCCTTATATTATTTTTCAACAGTTTGTTATATTTAATATTATTTTTCAACATTTAATAATACTTTTAATAATAATTGTATATATAAATTTCATAAATCATAAAACATTATGATACACTTTCAGGGATGGAACACAGTAGAGACGGCAATGACAATAGCTTGTATGATGATTATATATATATCCATGACTTTCAACATTTTTATATTTTGTTATATTGGCGAAACGGTAACAGAACAGGTAAAAAATACAAATTATGAAACAAAAATTTTATTGTATAATATATATATTCTTATATGTTATATGTGTTGTCCAAGTTTTATTAAAAGTACTAAATATGTGCATTTATCACAACTTTTCCATATTATGGAAAAAATATTATATAAAATGAATAATTTAATAGTGTAAACAAGTAGGACAAATAGCTTACATGACTAACTGGTATCATTTGCCGTATAAAACGGCTCGAGGTCTGATTTTAATTATCTCCCGATCAAGTAGTGTGATCAAATTAACTGCAGGAAAATTAGTTCATCTTTCTATCGCAACTTTTGGTGATGTAAGTACACGAAGTATATTATGTATATTATTAGGCGCCGACTTGCGAAAAATATTAGAGGGACACCGAGAAATAATGGAGAGAAACACAACAATATTCAAATTTTTGCGTTGCTACTGGTAGATATAAATCGCTGAAATAACTAAAATTTATCAAATTAATGGAGATTTTAATAATTTCAGCGATTTTCATCAAGAGTATTGCAAAAAAGTGGATAATATTGTAGTTGACATCCATTTCTTCAGAGGATTACAAGATGTTTTGCAGAGAATGTACAAGATATTTTGCAGGTAGTTAGTTACAGGAAAAGAACCCGCTTGTCCTTTCTCAGGTTTCTCTCTGGTACGTGTATGTGCAGGGACACTAAGGGTTCCTTGCAGTGGCATGTTCGGATTCCCACCTGGATATTCCCCGGTTATCACGTCATCCTTGCTGTCTAATAAATGTTAAACAAGGATGACATGACATCCGAGGAACCTTGATGGGAATTACACGCTTCAACAAGACTCAGTACAATACAGTAATCATCTCATCCTTGTTTAACATTGGCGAAGATCAAGAATATAATGATGTAATAAACTGTGTGTCACACCATGTCATTATATCGTCTCTTGTTGGAAGGCACTCTAGGACAGCAGACATGCCAGTGTCACTTTTAATTCGCCGCGTCAACGTTATGTATAGCGTATGTCATGTAGCCAGGCCTTTCTCACAATTTTATCCTTGATCACAGAAATTATTTGATTTTTAATTACAATTGTTAAAAAAAAACCTTTTGTTAAAAAACCAAAACATATAAATTATTGAGGGGGCATTGCACTCTTTAAAATTATTGGGGAAGCAAAAAGTGGTTTGCCCACCCCCCCTTCCCCTCCCCGTAGTTGGCGCCTACATTATGTATATTATGTTTTACAGCCAAATATATGTTCAAAATGTTTTAGGTGATACGATCCTCCATGATATACTTAAACATGCTTCGGACTATGACAGCTTCTTAGACAATAATAGTTACACCATTTTGTATAAAGCGTTAGCAAATTTTCTAGTTATCACTATAAATTTATATACTATGTATAAATAACAATGAATGAATTATTAATAAAATATAGGACACCTAGAATGTATAGTATATTTCTATATCCCGAGAAAATAATATAAATAAATAAAAATTATTAAGAATTAAATTGAAGCAAACTATAAGGATCTAATGATATAAATTCAAATAATAAATAAATAAAGGCTATTTTAGTAGAGCTTGTTTTCGATGTTAAATATATCGATATTCAGTGTAAGAAATGATAAAATGAACGTTTTGATCTTTAATATGGTCATCGTTTGTGTCACAATAAATATAAAATTATAAAAATATTCATATAAATTTACTATAATTCTTATGACTATAGAAACATACATAGTTTACTTGTATATTTATCTATTATAAAAATACGAATGTATGTTATTACCATTTTGTAACGTTCTTATTTATAAAATGTTAATATTAATTTCTGATTTTCCAGAATGGTGTGATTTTGATGCAGCACGAATGATATCGTATATGTATGTATGACTCAATATTTTTATATTTTGTTACAACGTCGAGATTCTTACGAAAGTAATTCCTCAAAAAATTTAGAATAATTAAAGTTACCTGAATTATTATGCTTAAGAATGTATGTAAGTTCCTTAACTCCTGCGAATATAGGGCCTCTAATAAAATGTTAGTGACAATGAATTTTCTTTTAATTAGATTGATAGCCTAATGTTTAATCCTCAGTCTGAGAGGGACCTATAGTTTAATTGTCGAATTGGTGATCAAAGGTCTCTTAATCACCATTATGGACTCTTTAAACGCGAAAAAACGTGTAAACCCAGATTTAAGATAGAATCATACGATACTCGATTTTTTAAATGATATAAGCAATGTAAATATGTATGCTGCTATTCTTGATTTGATGTATACAATCTGACGTTTGACAAATAATTATGAAATTTGCAATTGTTACTTTTGATTGATGCAAGCAAATAAGCTATGAAGTAATCCATAATAAAAATAAAAATCATATATAATATATGCAACATGCAGCGCTTAAAACATCAACGAATTTTAGCATACATCAAAGCAGGCATACATGACTGTATGCGTATTATCATTCAAAAAATGAATTCGAGTATCGTGTGATTCCATCTTTACAGATAGTGAGTCAATCGCACCGAGCCGCAGACCATTTGACGCTCATGCTTAAGAATAATTTAGGGCTGGTTACTTTGACTTTAAACGAGACTTAAAACTCTATCTGTCTCGTTTTAAAGTCAAAAGAAACAGATATAGAAAGAGTTTCAAGTCTCACTTAAAATCAAAGTAATGTTGGTGCCTAAAATCGGGCCTTAAATATTCTATGTTTAAAAAATCGTTTAATGACTTGAGTTTTGTGACTTGAATTGTTTCTTAATTTTTCCTCTCATTTCTGAAAATATAAAAACCGCTTAAAAATTTTAGAAATTTTACGAATACCTACATTAATTAATTTTAGTGTAAAAAAGTTGGCGAAAAGTCACATATGACTAATTGGAACGCATTAAAATTGTCTGGGTATCATTCTCATAATAGCGCGATAGAGTTACGTTATCGAGAGATTATCATTGAAAATTATTGCAATTGTCAATCACAACTTTTGGTGATGTAATTTTAAAATTTAAGATTAAATTTTATAGCAAATATTTACTTAAAAAAATAAATTATTCTTAACATTAAAAAGATAAATATTTCTTACGAAAAGAGATGAAATTATAAAAGAGAGATGAGATTATAAAAATAGTGTCTTCATGAGATTATATGTATTTTTCTATAAGAAAGTAATTTCTTTTTTGGTTAATATTCCTGAAAGATAAAACACAATAATGAAGTTTATATACATACCTATTTGTATAATAAAGTTTACATATCTATCTGAATTATATGTATATAAAAGTTTCATATTTGAAAAACATTAAATTTATGTCTTTGCGAATACATATTATAGCAAATTCGTTTACGAGACACCACGCATCGTACTCCGTGAGTATTGATCGACTAATGAGACGCACAAATATCCTATTACCTATTACTGTAGTTACTCCCTGGCGCAGGCGCTGCTTTCTGTGAACTGCACGCATGTTTAAGTCGATTCAGTAACATCCGCGCGTTCTGTGAGTAATCATGAAAATCAATGAACGTGTCATGTCACATTTGGACGCGAGTGATTACAGTATTCAGTTGAACCGTTGGTTCCTAAAATCAGTGGGAGCTTGGCCAAGTTCAGCCTCAACGACCGTCAAAGAAAAGGTGATTTCAATAGTACTGATAATCATCTGCTATTCATTGATAGCCTACACGGTCGTACCTTGCATCTTGAACATCCTGCTCGAAGAAACCGATATGCATAAAAAATTACAAGCTATTGGTCCGTTAAATCACTGGAATATGGGCGGCATGAATTACTTCTCACTGCTGTTTCGCAGCCGCGATATATACCGTTGCGTGGAGCACGTGAGGACTGATTGGCGGATGATAACCGATACAGAAGACCGGCAAGTGATGCTGAAATATGCCAACTTTGGAGGTTTTTTCGCTGGATTGTGCGCAATTTTCATGCATGGCGGTGTGTTCTCGCATAGCGTGATGCAGGGCATCATGCCTACATTTGTATATATTGGGAACGTGAGCGTGTCAATACATGTATTACCGTGTCCCACGTACAGCAAGTTCATAGATATTACGAAGAGCCCAGCGGGCGAAATTGCGTTTACCGTGCAGCTCATCTCGAGCATCGTCGTCAATTCCGTCACCGCCGGTGCCTGCAGTCTCGCAGCGGTGTTTGCGATGCACGCATGTGGCCAGTTAAATATACTGATGAGATGGCTGGACCAGTTGGACGATCGAAAGCAGCAGGATATGATACAGAATCGATGGGCAATCATTGTGGAGCACCATCTGAGAGTGTTAAGGTAATATCGATATAAATTTAAAAGTTAATATTTTTGCTTGATATATAAAAAATAAAATCTTTTATATTTTGATACCTTTGAGCCAATCCAAAGCTATGTCTCATCTGATTCTCTTTTTTCTTCTCTTAATATATTATAATTTAGTTCCAAAAAAAGTTTATATATGTAAAATATGATTGTAATTTACGTTACTTACAGCTTCGTGGCACAAATGGAAGCACTTTTAAATCAGATATGTTTTGTAGAATTGCTAGGATGTACGTTTAACTTATGCATGCTCGGATATTATATCATTACGGTACGCTAAAAAATTAAATGTGTGATTAAGATACATGTATGACTTTTCATACTTAAATAAATTGCAAAATAAAAACGCATATACAAGAAATAACTACCGCAGAAATAAAAGTGCCACAATACAACCAAGTGACAGCAAACACGATGTTATGATTTGAGAATCACATGACTTACCGTCATATTTTGGTATAAGGTATAAGGAAGCGTTAAATTTCAGAAGGTAAGTATTAATAATTGTAATTTGAGATTAGATTAATGAAAATAAGTCTAATCAAGAGAAAATCCTGTTTTCAGTCAAAGCAAATTTTAATGCGTAAATATTTCAATGTGAATTTATATATAAATCCAATTCTATAAATTCTCTTTACGAATCGACATTTTTCAGTCTTGAAACGAAATCATGAACAGAATTAGAAAGATAATATCATATATTAATTTGACTTGGTCATTTTTATAAGATGAGATTATTATCATCAGTATTAGAATTATCTCATTCTTGTTTTTATTAAATATTGAACAAGAATAAATGATACTCACGAATGTAATTGTAAATGTGAATCAGACCGTGGCTATGACTTGACGTGGACAACAAATAACGCTGTCATACGGTGATTTTTTGTGCATGCGCTGTCAGATTTTGGTCCACGATCTTCGTCTACTGTCGTACTGGATGTACTGTGGCATTGCGTTCTTAAATTATTTTTTAGAAATATTTAATACTTTAAGAAGAAACATATAATACTTTTAATAATAATTATATATATAAATTGCAACACATAATTGTCATAATACATTATGATAAACTTTCAGGGATGGAATACTATAGAGACAAAAATGACAATAGCCTGTATGATGATTATATATGTATCCATGACTTTTAACATTTTTATATTCTGTTATATTGGCGAAACAGTAACAGAACAGGTAAAAAATGTAAATTATGAAATAAATATTTTATGGTATATACAAATTTTATAATATACAAATATATAGGGCGAGTAAGAAGTCTCGGACCAATGCAATATTCGAAAACTAAGCATTTCCGAAAGAAATATTATAGGATTTTAAGTGATCTATTTACTGATCTGGTCAGTCTGACATTGACGTCGACAAGGTTAGGTCAAGGTCACATCGATGTCTTTTGCACACCTTATTTTTGATTACAGAATCTAATAGCTGGCATCAAGAGTTTTTCAAAACACTACAATAAAGTTATTTTTTATGAAGTACTTTTTGATTTATAAGGCTCGAAAGTTATAGTATCGCCTGCGTTAACATTACGCAAGGTGTCCGCATAATGCTAATGTCGGCGATACTGTAACTTTCGAGCCTTGTAACTGGAAAAGCACTCAATACAAACTAATTTTATTATAGTGTTTTGGGAAGCTCTCGACATCGGTTATTAAATTCTGGAATAAAAATAGGGTGTTCTTTTTAAAAAAATTAATGTGACTTTGACCTAACGTTGGCGACACCACCTAAGGTCAAACTGATAAGATCAGTGTATAGATCATTTAAAACTATACATTTATAGAAAATATTTCTTTCGGAAATGCTTAGTTTTCGAGATATTTCACCGATTCGGGACTTTTTATTCATCCTGTACATACATATAACATATTGTATATATATATATATATTTTCCGAGTTTTATGAATAAAAAAGTGCAAAATATATTATCACTTCAACTTTTTCACATTATAAAATAATTTAATAGTGTAAACAAGTAGGAGAAATAGCTTACATGACTAATTGGTATTGTTTGCCACATAAAACGGCTCGAAGTCTGGTCTTAATTATCTCCCGATCGAGTAATGTAATAAAATTAACTGCAGGGAAACTATTTCATCTTTCTATCGCAACTTTTGGTGATGTGAGTGCACGTTAATGTAAGTGTATTATGTTTTTGCAGCCAAATACATTTCCAAAATGTTTTAGGTAATGAGGACCTCCATGATATATCCAAACATGCTTCGAACCATGACAGGTTCTTAGACAATGAGATTTATACCATTTTGTACAAAATGTTAGCAAATTTTTTAGTTATTTTCTACTATAATTTCATATTATGTTTGAATAATTATATGTATTACTAATAAAATACAAGATATCTATTATCTATATCACTTTCAAATCCTAAAAACAAGATGTAAAAATTATTATTGAAAAATTGATATTTCTTTAAGTAGTAATTTTTATTTTTAATCGCAAAATAAAGGAAAATGAAATAGAATAAAGGATTACATAAATTTTTTGACAAAATGAAAAAAATTATGGAAAGAATGACAGGTTTTTCTATATATTACGTTTGAAAGTAATATAAAACAGCGATTTATAAACTGGATCATAAATATGCCTATATATACCCCTCTGATACATCCTTAATGTTTTCCTATTATGTATTACAATATACGTATGTGAGAGTTTCCACTTTAAATGCCTTTCATTCATTTATATTGAGCATGCCTAAAATTTTTTGGAAGTGTTAATATATGTTTTAATTGCTTTACCTAGTAAATTCCAAACGATACAAGATGATGAAAAATAAAAAATTCGTTGTCACTTTCGGAAAAGTATCTTCATATTCCTCACAGAACACAGTCTTCTGTCAAACTGACAAATACACTTCGTGTGAGGAAAGATTATCGATTGGACACGCGTGCGCTCTTCTCAACGCTACGTGTTTTACAGCACGAACTTTCTTAAACGTTGGCGCAAGCGTATTTTCGGATATGTCTCTAGATACATTCTATACGTTCTATACAGTTTCTATACAATTATTGCAGTAATACATAGGTCACTTTTGTGAAACGATCATGAGCGATCTGAAACGCATCCTAATAAATTTCGGAAATTTTTATGACTACAGTATACAATTTAATCGATGGTTTCTTATATCGCTCGGTGCTTGGCCGCAAAGAAGCGCGAGCAAAATAAAACAAATTGTGCTGTCAATGCAAATCTTCATTTTTTCAATCGTGGTGGCAATCATTATGATACCATGTACATTATACATATGCTTTGAAAAAGAAAAATTTGATATTAGAATAAATGCTATCGTTCCGTTGATGCACAGAATCATGGGATCTATAAATTACTGGCAATTACTTACGCATAATAAAAATATTCAACAATGCATGCTGCATATGGAGACGGATTGGAAACTCGTTCGGAAAATGAACGACCGCGAAATTATGTTGCGATATGCCAAAATTGGCCGTTTCATAGCCAAATTTTGCGCAATATTTATGCACAGTAGTGCGATCTTTTTCGCCGCGGTCAAAGCAGTGAAAACTACGACCGTTATTATCGGTAATGAAACCTTTAAGATGTATCCGATGACATGTCCACCGTACAGCAAAATCATTGACGTGAGATTCAGCCCTACGAACGAGATCCTACTGAGTGCGCAATTGTTGTCGACACTTATAGTGAGCTCCTCTACAATAGCTATATGCAGTCTTGCCGCTGTTTTCGCGATGCACGCCTGCGGTCAACTGAACGTATTGCATATATGGCTAAAAGAACTTGCTGAGGAGAAGACATATCATTTAGCAGAACAAAAACTTGCTGTTATTGTGGAGCATCATTGGAGAGTCCTCAGGTATTTTGTTTAAAAGGGAACATAACACGGAAAGAATTTTCTCTTAAAATTTACTTTAAAAATATGGCAGTTGTAGTACAATATAATATTTTAAAGATTTTCACCATGCAGTAAAAATTTATTTTATACTTTATTGTAATTTTATTAGTGAATGAGATAGATTTACATAAAATTTTTTGAAATATAATGTTGTCCCACGACTATCATATTTTTAGGGTAACAAAAAATTCTCTCCGTAAACTAAGTGTCGTCTTCCGGTTTTAATAAGTTTCGGTTATGTTAAAATATTAAGACAAAAATAAGATTTTCTACTTTATAATAATGATGTACTTTATAATAATGATAAAAAATTCTTTATTTATTAAAAAACTTTATTTATTAAAAAAATTAAAAAATGATTATTAAAAATATGAAGTACTCTTAAAATCATTCAACTTTTATTTAAAATTTGTTTATATTTTGAACTGTTTAATATTCACTCAGAAAGAAAAAAAAAACGAATTTTTTCAAAGTAAAATTATATTCCTTTAACGTACAAAAAGAAATTATTAAAAATTCGCATCTTTTATTTTTGTTTATATTTTAACATAAACAATAAAGATAACAAAACTTAAAATCGGAAGGGGTATACTTAGTTGTGTTTCTTTGTTAGCTCATTTAGATCTTAAATATCAATTATAATTTGTGTTATAAGTTTCTTTTCATTGAGTGTTAACTTTAATCGAAAATATTTACTCCGCAATTTTCTTAACTAGAGTTTCAAATCCAGTGTACTTTAAATTAATGTATTTTTTTTAACTTTAAAAGTAATTGAACGATTCATTTTTCATTTTGAAAGTCAAAATTTGAGAAAAAAAATTATGTAACTTAAACTTATGTAAAGTTGTAAAAAATATTTGTTATAAACAATTTTCAATTGTTATAAATTAATAAATTACAATTTGTTATAAACAATGTAATTGAAGAAAAGGTCCAAGTCATGATTTAAAGTGGATTTTACGAAAGAAAATATCCTATTGAATACATTTGAATACATTTTAACTATTAGGGGGACCGGAAAGTAATGTCGTTTGTCGCATGTCGATATTCGTTTATCAGCTCATTGTGTACTTCAAAATCGTGCCAAAGGCATTTTTAAAAAGACGACATTATTTTCCGATCCCCCTAATACATAAATATGTTTCAGCTTTGTTGTACAAATAGAGAATATTATGCATAAAGCTTGTTTAGGAGAATTAATGGGATGTACGCTGAGTATGTGTTTACTTGGATATTACTCTATTATGGTACGCTACAAACAAATAAAATTTCATTTCCATATTACAAATGATGTAATTGAAATGCTGCAAAAACAGATTAATCTTATTTTTCTGCAGTAAATAAAACGGTCAATTGATTTTGCAGAACTGGGCTAATTTCGATGCAGTAAAAATAATTTCATATATAAGTGTATATATATCATATACATTTAATATATTTATATTTTGTTACATCGGTGAAGTTCTCACAGAACAGGTAATATCTCAAAATCAAAAAGATTTTTTAGACATTTGAAACTCTTCTCATTTTGATTGTATATAAAATATAATATAATGTTGTCTAATTATATAATTAGAAAAATATTGAATGTTTGATTATTTACATTTTATTATCATATTTAAGAAAAAAATAATATAATTATGTTCATATATATCTAAATTATTCTTTAATATCTCTTTCATTATTGTTAGATGTTTAGGCACTTCAAAATTTGTAAATACTTTTATTTATTTATTTATTTATTAGTGCAAAAATATCGGGGAAATAACATATATGACCAATTGGTATAAATTGCATCACAAAACAGCACTTAAACTCACTTTGATACTCATGCAATCGAGTTATGTCATTAAGATAACGGCAGGAAAAATATTTCGGTTATCCATAGCAACATTTGGTGATGTAAGTACATACATTATAGCACAGTTATTAATAGCGTTAAATAAAATTTTAATATAATTTATTTTCTTGTTATGCATTGTTCTTGTTATGTATTGTTATAATTATTCTATGTAATGATTTGACTATTTAGTTTTACACCGTAAAAGTTTAGTTTTATGCCGTACCAAAGCAAATATTAACAATCTAATCAACAATTGTACATTTATTATTAATAAAAACGAGAAATCCTGTTATTACAGATAATAAAAACTTCCATGGCATATTTAAATTTTTTGAGAACAATGACTGTATAAAGCATAGAAAAACAACAAGTTATAAGACACACACATAAATTATTTTCTAGATAGAAATGTAAAATAAACTAATAATTATGATATAACAGGATTTTCTGTGATACGGTTCTTAAAAGCAAAAAATGTATATCCTTGATGATTCTCCTGAAACTAAAGAAGTAAAAACTCAATACCTTATAAAATTTGTATGCATAGCCATACAAAGTACTTTCATATTCCTCTTCAAATGCGACCTTTTGCGAAACTGACAAGACAAAACATTTGCTAGGAAAAAAATCGATTTGATATGCACGCGATACTCTCAATAAAAAAGTACCAATGTAAGCGTTCATCAAACTTTAGAAGTTGGCGCACGCGCTTATTCAAATAGAATCCTTGCTAGAACCATTGTCCCTGGCAGTACGCCAAGCTAGTTCACGAAGCGAGCATGACGAACTTGAAACGTGACTTGAGAAACATTGATTTCAAGCACATTAACAATTATAGTCTGCAAATTAACCGATGGTGCCTAAAACCGATAGGTGCTTGGCCCATAACAAGCACGTCGAGTACATTAGAAAAAATTGTCGCGATAGTATTGATCATCTTTTGTTCACTTACAATAGCAATCGTTACGGTGCCATGTATACTGTACGTAATATTGGAGGATCAAACTATCACGGCAAAAATAGGCGCCTTTGGGCCATTGTTTCATAGGATTATGGGTTCGATAAGTTATTGGACGTTGCTCAAACGCAGCCACGACATTCACAATTGCATACAGCACATGGAGATGGATTGGCAGTTTATACAAAGAATCGGAGATCGTGAAACGATGCTGCAATACGCTAAGTTCGGACGTTTTCTCGCCGGAATTAGTGCGGCGATCACGCAGGGCGGTCAGCTGCTCTTCGGCACCGCAAGAGCAATAAAGACTATGACCATCATGGTCGGTAACGAGACTTTTAAAACACGTCCAATGACATGTCCGACATACAGTAAGATTCTCGATACGAGATTCAGCCCTATAAACGAAATTATGCTGACTATACAATTCGTGTCGGCATTTGTAGTAAGTTCCGCAATAGTGAGTGTTTGCAGCCTCGCTGGAGTTTTCGCGATGCATGCCTGCGGCCAACTCAACGTATTGTATGCGTGGTTGAACGAACTCGTAATTGATTACGAAGAGAAGGGAAATCAATCAGTCGAGCAAAAATTGGCTGCTATTGTGCAGCATCATTTGAGAGCATTAAGGTACTCTACTATTGAACTATATTTCTTGAATGTATGATACTTTGCTTTAACAAATATGGCACAATTTTGAGAGATAGATATTTACTTTTTTCTATACAAACATTTCATAATAAATAAAATCAATATTGTCATTAATACGATGTATGTAAATATATGTTCGACAAAATTTAGCAAAAAATTTTGTTAATGAAGAGTTCGCACTTAAACATTCTGCAATTATACAAATGTATTACAGTTTTATAGCATGTGTGGAAAGTATTATGCATAAAGTTTGTCTTGCAATATTGATGGGCTGCACACTAAATATGTGTTTACTTGGATATTACTCGATTATGGTATGATTAAAAGAAATATATTATTAAAAACGCTATTCTCATACATCTTTTTAATTATAAAGAATGAAATGCAATTATTAATAATATAATAATATGTAGTAATAATAACAGAGTTGTTAAATTTTAGTATAGTAATAATAATAGAATTGTAAATTTTATTATTTATGCATAAACTTGTAAAATTAATTTTTCAGAATTGGGGTGCTTTTGATGCAGCAAAAATATTGTCATATATTACTTTATATACTTCAATGGGGTTTAATATATTTATTTTTTGCTATATCGGCGAGATTTTGACAGAGCAAGTAATATATCTTTCAAAATTAAAATAATTTTTTTAGAAATCTATTCAAATCCGTTTATAAAATATAGAAACAAAATAAATATATTTATATAATGGCTGCTTTTTTGATACTTTCTGCAGAAATGTAGATATTTATATTTATAATGAAAAATTATAAATATAAAAATATTTATATTTTTTTATTAGTGCAAAAATGTCGGGGACGTGGTATACATGATTAATTGGTATCAATTACCGCACAGAACAGCCCTTTGTCTTATTTTAATAATAATGCGATCAAATAATGTAATCAAAATAACTGCAGGAAAATTAGTTCATTTGTCTATTGCAACTTTTGGCGATGTAAGTAATATATCAATTAAATTCCTTATAATACTCCTCAGATTTAATAAATATAAAATTTAAATTTTATTTAATATTTGTTTTAATTGTGCTAATTATATTTGACCAAAATGTTGTAATGCAAAATTTTATATATGAAATCGTATATTGTAAAAATACATTGTATTAATAGAAACAAAAATTTTGCTATTTTAGGTAATTAAAACTTCCATGGCTTATTTAAATATTTTACGAACAATGATGTAAAACCTATAGTGAGCAATGTAGTTAATTAGAAATATGTAGCAAATTAGGAAGTTGGACAACATATTTTATATAGAATAGATGAAATACTTTGCAGGTAGGATATTATAATAACATTATCTAAATATATGTTTATAATATGTATATCAGATTTTTTACGATTAAATTTTAAAGTTTAGTAGAAATTTTTCGATGATTCGCTTAAAATTAAAGTAATTAAAGTTCAATACTTTACAAAATTCATACTTACTTCCGCAAAATATTTTCACACACTTGTCTAAATAATGGCCTCCTGTTAAATTGGTAGAACAAACAACTCTCTGTGAAGTTATTGATCGATTGTGCAGTTTCTCTCAGAAAAAAATATGTCAATATGAACTTTCTCCAAACTTTGCCAGAAGTTGGCGCATGTGTCCATTCAAATAAAATCTTTGTAAGCACATTGTCCACAATATGTCGAGTGCGTTCATATGAACATGATAAAGTTTCGACCTATGTCTCGATGTATGTCCAGAATCATTAGCTTAAAAAATTACAATGATTACGAAACTGCTTCTTAAACATAGCAATGTCGTAAATTAATGGAGATCGATTGGAAAATTATATGTAGAATCAAAAATCGCCAAATAATATACTAAGTTAAGTCGTTTCATCGCCGGGATCTATGAGGTGATTATGCTATAGGTGATTTTGACCCTTAGTTATGCTAAATAGGAATACACTGCCATGCGGTATATTCTTATTTATAGCATAGCTAAGGCGATTAAAATCCATACCCACCATTGTTGGTAATAAGACTTTTAGGATACATTCGATATGTCCGGTTTACAGCAAAATCATCGATATAAGTTTCAGTCCTGTAAATAAAATCATTGGTTGTCAACAATTTCTATGCAACATTTATAGTGAGTCATCTACTGTCGGTGCTTGCAACCTAGCTGCCGTTTTCGCAATGCACGCCTGTGATCAAACATGCTATATACATGGCTACATAAACTTGTAGGAAATCAGAAGGGAAATTATATAACCGAACAAAAACTAGACATTATTTTGGAGTATCATCTCCGAGTATTGAGGTATGTAAATAGAAAACATATTTATCAGAATATTTCAGACAACGTACATTTAATATATAACAATATTGGTCAAAAAGAGACGTTATTGTTAAAATAAACATTAATAAATTTTTGAAATTACTGCGAAAGTATCGTTATGTAAATATTCATTCGTCGTATTCTACTTCTATTCAAACGTAAGTATTCTACTTATATGCAAACATCCTTTTTCGGAAGAAAACTTCATCATTTTACGTTTAATGATTATAAATATTATTATGTACATTTCAATTTTATAGCACGCATAGAAAGTATTATGAATAAAATCTCTCTTGTGGAATTGATGGAATGTAAATATGTGCTTACTTGAATACTACTTAATTATGGTATGATAAATATTTAAAAAATCACATTTTATTAAATATATCAGTAATTACTTATATGAATATTCAAATGTCGTTATATGTATTATTGAAAAAACAGATTTCGAATACTAATTACTCATGTGTTTTTATATAAAAATAAATATTATTAGTTATATTATAACTTTTTAGGGAAGACTTTGATGTAACAAAAATAATGTCTTAAGTTAATATATATTTATCAATGCGTTTCGATATTTTTACATTTTGCTATATCGGAAAGATAGTCACGGAAAAATATATAAATAAAGTCATAAATATACAAATCAAGAATGGAATAATGTTTTATGTTTCTCGATATAACTCAATGAACCTTAACTTTATAAAACAAGTTTTTATGTTATACAAAAGTACCAAAGCATAATTTCTTAACAATTATTAATTATTTATATTTATATTTATAATAATTAGTATGTGATAAGTAATATATAAATATAAATATATTTATGTATATATATTTGATTTTATAAACTAGTGCAAACTTGGCGAAATGGCATATATGACTGATTATAATTTACATCATAAAACTCAAAACTGCACTTGATCTCATAATAATAATTACACGAACAAGTAACATAATAAAGGAAAATTATTTCAATTGTTTATTACAACTTTTGGCGATGTAAGTAATGCATATTCAAAAAACATCAAAAAGGCAAAAAAAATACTATTATATAGAAATATGTACACTGTAAAAAATAAAATGTTAATTTTAACTTAAAGACGTGTAATGAATTTTCTGAGACATACAAAAATGTTAAGATTAATACTTTTGTGTTAATTTTAACATTTTTATATGTCTCAGAAAATTCATTACACGTCTTTAAGTTAAAATTAACATTTTATTTTTTACAGTGTATATGTTTTTTATATTTTACTAATTACAAATCTTAATAACCCCACAAAAAAAGTTATTAATTTTATATTACCTATTGTATTAAAAACGTAATTATTATTTTTTAAATAAATATATTGATATGTTATAGACAAAAATAAACATTCTAATATTATAGGTAATAAAAACTTTCAAGTATATTTAAATCTTTCACAAACAATGTAAACCATAACGTTTAAAAATTTAGAAAATATATATTATATATATATATATAAAACAAGATAGGAAATATATCTTCTAAATCAAGATTTGATAAAATCAATTGTAATATTAAAATTAAAATTATATACAGGATTATGATTCATCAAATTATTATTGAAAGTGTATGCAATAAAATGATTCTGATTTTCATATATTCGTTTATAGCATTTTTTATATTTTAAGAAGTTCTAATTTTTATCTAATTTACATAACTTATTAATAAATAAAAGAATATGATATATAAAATATAGTATCGAACCTAAAAAATTTACTAAGTTAAAATAGTTTTAATATTATATTACTTCTACTTATTTATCCTTACACTCCTTATGACACGCGATGTTCTCTCAGATATGTGATAATAGAAACTCTCGACAATTATATCGATTGAATGTACATCTCTCTCAAAATAATTTTACAATATTAAGCTGTTCACTAAACTTTTCCAAAAATCGGCGCAGGTTTTTCTTCATATTCCAACACAATGAATTGCCTATCTGTGGCAGTGCACCTTTCATACAAGAATCATGCAAAAATATGCATCAAATATGCATCAATAAGCGACAGATAAAAAAAGCACGATTACAGTTTATAACTTACATTAGTCAATTCTTTTTAAGTCAATCAATACGTGGCTACAAATAAATGTATTGATTTCAATATAGAACATATCTTTTATATTACTACAAATTTTTTTTTCGAGTACGTACAATAACATAAAAAAAGCCGCAACCATCATCAAAACGCATCCGATGATGAGTGCGATTTACAACATTATTGATATGAGATTCATACCTATGAATGAAATAGCATTATGGAGTTTCTATTAAAGTTTCTTAGTATGGTGAGTTTCTTTGCCGTCAGTATTTGCAGTCAAGCTGCTGTTTTAGCAATACGTACTTGTAGTTAGCTGAACGTGCTGTATGCACTACATAAACTTGTTGAAAAACACGAGAAGGAAAATTATACTCATTCAAAAAAATACACATAAATCTGTACACATAAATTCTTTAAACTTGAAATAATCATTTAAAAATAGATAATTTTAAATTTATTTTTCACTTTTTTAAATTATTAATTTATCGTCATTGTATTCATGAAGAGTTCAGATGACATAATTATAAAAAAAACTTTACAGTTTCATTTTATGTTTAATTGGATATATTATGAATAAAGTTTTTCTCCTGCGGAATTCATGGAATGCACGATAGACATGTGTCTTCTTGGATATTACACTATTATAATATGCTAAACAACATACACCGAATGCTAGTTAAGAGTGTCTATACATGTCCTACAGTAGTAATCTTACGGTAATTATTTCTGTAATTGTTCAACGTCCAAACAAATAATAATAGTGATATTGGATAATTGTAAAACATAATAGTATTAAGAAATTTTTTTTTTTCAAGACATTATATATATCTTAAGATATCAGAATAAATTAATATATCGTGAAAATAAAATTTAGTAAATAAAATGATTATGTTAAACTCAAGATTATAAGTGATTACATTATAATTTCCAAGATGTATATTAAATAATTTTTTTATGATATTTATCACGCTTATTATTATAATTTCTGTATATTAAAATACAGAAATAATTTTCATGTTTATTGAAATTATATATTCTCTCTTTTTAACATAAAAAGTTTATTAAAATTATTCATGTTCGGAATTACTTCTACTTTATCCCTTATATTTCTCTCATTTCCATATACTCATTTTTATAATATTGTTTATATTTTAAAATATTTTTTTTCGCGAATTTTTTTTGTCATTTAATTAATTTATCTTTTAATCAATATAAGAGAAATATGGTTAAAATATATCATCGAAAATTTGATGAAATAATGAACTTCTAATGTTACTTCCACGAATCTATCCTTACACTCCTCATGACACGCGATGTTCTCTCAGACTTTGGACAATAGAAACTCTCGACGAACAATTATATTGATTGAATATACACCCCTCTCAAAGTAACTTTGTAATGTTAGATCGTTCATCAAACTCTTTTGAAGATCAGCGCAAGCGCTTCATCATATACCGGCGATGAGTTGTCTCACCATCGCAGTGCACTGTGCGCTTTCGTGCAGCGATCATGTCAAATACTAAAAGCGCGCCAGAAAACAAGATATCGAAACAATATAATAATTATAGTTTACAATTTAATCAATGGTTTCTCAAGCCAATTGGTGCGTGGCCACAAAAAAATATGAAATCAGTGTGGAAAATCTTTACATTATTACAAATTCTCATTTGTTCAAGTTTAATAGCATTAATAACGGCACCATGTGTGTTATATGTATTATTTGAAAAAGTGAACATCAAGCAAAGATTGAACGTAATTGGACCACTGCTTCACAGGCTTATGGGCATGATAAATTACTGGGTGTTGTTAAAGCGCAGCGGCGATATTCACAAACTAATACGACACATGGAGACAGATTGGAATCTCGCACAAAGAATAGACGAACATGAACTGATGTTGCAATATGCCAAATTCGGTCGTTCCGTCTCTATAATCTGTGGACTAATTATGCAAGGCGGTACGTTTCTGTTCAGTTTAACAAGAGCATTGAAAACTACAACCATCATCGTCGGCAACGAAACTTTTACGACGTATCCCATGACCTGTCCGGTTTATAGCAAGATCATCGACACGAGATTTAGCCCTGTGAATGAAATCGCGTTGGTTCTGCAGTTTATGTCAACATTTGTACTGAGTTCTTCTACTGTCGGTGCTTGCAGTCTGGCTGCTGTCTTCGCGATACATGCTTGTGGTCAGCTGAATGTGCTGTCTATATGGTTACATGAACTTGTTCAAAATCAGGAAAAGAAAAATCATATAACTCAAAAAAAACTGGCCCTTATTGTGGAACATCATCTGAGAGTATTGAGGTATTTTATATGCTAATACTTGTTAGAAAATACATATCTTAGAGCTCTATACTTGTATAAGCGAATTCTTTATATTTGTTGGAATAATTCAACTCAATCATTTAAAAATAGATATTGTCGGTTTATTTGGAATTAAGATAAACTTTTATTTACTTTTATTTTCTAAATGATAAAAAATCTATCGTTTCAATGTGCAAATTAATTGTAAATGAATTCTTCTGTGTTACATTTATACATTTAGTTTTATATCATGCGTGGAAAGTATTATGCATAAAGTTTCTCTTGCGGAATTAATGGGATGCACGACAAGTATGTGCCTACTTGGATATTACACTATTATGGTACGCTAGAACTGTAAGAAAATGAAAATCTTATTAGACATAAATAAATGTCATTTATTTATGAAAAACCAAACTATTCTATTCTATTAGAAAATGTGTATTAAAAATAATAAATTATACGATAAAGATAAGTTTATATTTTAATTTTTAGGCTTGGGAGACGCTCGATACAGCAAAACTAACATCTTACTTCATTGTATATTTATCAATGGGTTTCAATATTTTTATATTTTGCTACATCGGAGAGATTATCACAGAACAGGTAATATGCCGAGAATTAAAAGATATTAAAATGTCAGATTTTGACATGTATTTATAACTTTTTTCATTTATTAATTAGTCAATAACCGCGTTAAGCAGAATATGTTTTTTGCATGTATTGAAAGTTTTCTTTGCTGCGATTAACTATCCCTATAGATTTTAATGTAAAGTTTGCGTGAAGAAAAGTACCAATTGTTGCAAAATAAACGTTCTTCTGAACATAGGTATTCCTTGCTTTTAATTTTTCACTGCATTTAAATGTAGGAACTAATCATAATAAAGACACACTGAGACTCATTGAACTACTTTGTTTCCTAAATGCAACCAGTACTTTTTAGAAAAGAGTAAAATATGATACGTTTATATTAAGAAAAAAAATTCTACAATAAAACTGCCTTGCTTTTAATAAAATTTAATATTTCTCTTTAATATTTTGTAAATCCATATTGTCAGATTCTTTTCATTACACATAAAAATTGTAACATTTTATATTATATGTCAATTTATGTCAATATATTAAACGATTATATTTATGTCAATTTATTAGTGCAAATATGTTGGGGAAGTAACATACATGACTGATTGGTATAATCTACATCACAAAACTGCACGTGACCTCATTTTGATCATTGCTCGATCGAGTAATGTGATTAAGATCACTGCAGGAAAGTTATTCCATTTATCTATTGCAACTTTTGGTGATGTAAGTATGCAGATATATTATTTTGCTTTATCTTGTTAATAAAAAAATAATAAATTACATGTTATATTTCATTGATTGCAAAATGAAAATTTTATATAAATTGGATTATCCATTATCTTTAAAACATTCATTCTATACATTCAATTATATGCGAGTATATGATTAAAAATTTCAAATCTTAATATTATTTATACAGTATAATATATATACTGTTTTTGTATAATATATATACTGTTTTTGTGTAAAAATAAGCATGTTATTGTTCTAGGTAATTAAAACTTCCATAGCGTATTTAAATCTCTTGCGAACAATGACTATGTAAAAAATAATAGTGTGAAACATAAGTTAAGAAATATGAAGGATATATATTTTATATAGAACAAATTATCACATATTCTAAAGAAAAGATTTAATAAAAAAAATCGACGATTATGTCAAAATCGAGATTATAAGCTATTAAATAATTTTCGAAGGTATACATTACAATTTTTTATGATCCTCTATGCTTGTTATTACAATCTCTATATTTAAAGGTACTAATTTTTATATTCATCTAAATTACATATTTATCATTGTTAACAATATGAAAAATATTTAGAGTCCTCCTCATTATCAGTGCGGAAATCATGTACGAACTATCAAATTCGTAATTTACATTTAATTTCTGCATTGAGGAGAACTCAATTAAAGTCGGAACGTTTGCAGTTAAGTAAATTTCGGTAAGTAAATTTCAATTATTTGCAAATTATACCTTATCATTTTCAAATATATAAATTTACACAAAAATGACTGCGGAGGCTCACTTGACAATTTATTTACATTTAATTTATTCTTCGAACTACAAACCTATTTTCATTTTTGTATTAATTAATTAATTTTTTAAATTACTAAAACAGATATGTCTTTATCAACATATAAACGTAAATATTTACGTTTTATTTGTACGCACTTTATCGAAAGAAAACTTCACAACGTTATATCTAATAATGAGTATTGTTATGTAATATTTCAGTTATATAGCAGGCGTACAAAGTATTATAAATCTCTCTTGTGAAACTGATATGATGTACAATAAGTACCTGTTCAATTAAGATATGTTGAAAATATATTTTAAAAATAACGACTTGTCATTAATAAAATTTCTATGTACATACATATTCAAATATCATATTATTGAAAAAATAGATTTATGGAAAATAATTAATTTTTATATAACTTAATTAATTAAGATATAAAGATAAAGATAATCATTATAACTTTTAAATTTGGGAAGATTTTGATACATAAAAAAAACATTCTATTAATTTAAACTCATTGACAAATTTAAATATTTTTATGTTTTATTATATTTTATATTTTATTAAAGAGATAAAACAAGTATTAGAAACAGAATGTTTATATTTGTATAAGTCTATGAATTTTGATTTAACATTATAATATACGATATTATATTATTATACATAAATATTAAAAGTAGAATTGTTTTGCTTTTAACAAAGCTTAGTATTTGAGTCTATATTTTGTATATATTATTTAAATTTTTTAATATTTAACAAATTTTATTCATTATTTAAAAAATTTTTAATGCATATTTAAAAAATTTAATTTTATACCGATTTATTGGTGCAAGCAGGGAAATGTTATACGTATATGATCGATTAGTATAATCAACATCACAAAACTGCATTTGGTCTTATTTTAATAATTGCAAAGTGAAGTAATAAAGATTATTGCAGAAACACACACACACATTATTTTAATTATCTATCGCAATTTTCGGCGATGTAAGATGTATTAGTGCATGTATCTCCAGAAAAACGTTTTTAGAATTGAAACGCTATGTAGGTATATATTTTCTTTATATTTTATAATTATGAAACTTAATAAATAACCTCATAAAAAATAATTAATTTTGTATCTTTTCATTGACTTATATTTATAAATATATTTATTATTCTTAAAATATATAGCAATTTAAATTATATATACAATGAACATTTTATATTGTTACAGGTTATTAAATATATATATATATATATATATATCTATATATATATATATATATAAATATTCGCTGAAGCACACAAATGGTAGCAAACTCAAAATCAGGCTCTCAAACTGTGATTTGTCAGAGATAAAGTAGAACTACCTTCATAAATGGTGCGTTCGGGAAGACACTATTAGCGCTACTTCTGTCATTCTATCTTCATTGTTTATTAAACGTAAAACAAGGATAGACAACACAAATAGCGCTAATAGCGTCTCCTCGAACACACTATAATCTCCCAAACAAGATACTGATACAATCAATATTAACTTATGGCGGGGTCAGTTAATCATCCATTTGTACCATTCAATATAAAATTTAAAATAAAAAAAGAGAAATTTTTGTTCGAAATTGTATAATTCATTCCTATATTTTTCTGATTTCAATATTTCTATTTATAATATTTTCCATATTTCAAAATATTCTAATTTTTATCGCAATTTATTCCATTAATCATAACAAAAAATATAGCAAAAAATATAGTTAAGATACATTACCAAATTAAAAAAATCTGTTAAAATAAAAAATTCTTAATGAACTTCCATAATTTTATGTGATTCCATAATTTTATATGATGTTCTCTCACAAATATCGGATAATAAAAACCTTTGACAACTAATTACATCGATTGAATATACGCCCCTCTCAGAGGGCGTATATCTATTTTTATCAGCTCACCAAACTCTTCTGAAAATCGGCGCAAGCGCTTTGTCATATTTCGACATGATGAGTTCAATGAGTTGTCTTTCCGTAGCAGTGCATTGCACATTTTCGTGTGGTAATGGTTTCAAATTCTAAATGTGTCAGAAAGCGACATATAGAAAAAATATAACGATTATAGTTTATAATTTAGTCAATAATCTCTCAAACTAATCGGTATACATAGCCACAAATAAATATGTCGAGTTCAGTGTGGAAAATCTTTATACTATAAATTCTCATTTGTTCGAACATAGTAGCATTCATAACGATATGTTTGTTATACACTTATATATGTTATTTGAAAAAGATCATATCAAGCAAAAAACTGAGTGTTGTGCATCATTGCTTCACAGGATTATGGGTTAGATAAATTATGGAGTGCTGCTCAAGTACAAAAGTGACATTCACAAATTAATACGATACATGCATTGAAGTCTCGTACAAAGAATACACAAACTTGAAGTGATGCTGTAACAAGTTAAGTACGGTCTATTCGTCGTTGATTTGTGCAATAATCGTGCATGGCGATACACGATTCTTGTTTAGCATAGTGGGTGACCAAAACCATACCTATCATTGTCGGCAATGAAACTTTTAAGATGTATCCGATGACGTGTCCGAATTACAACAAAATTATCGATATAAAAATCAGTCTTGTGAATGAAATTGCGTTGATTGTATAGCTTTTGTCAATATTTATAGTGAGTTCATCTACTGTCGGTTGGCAGTCTGCTGTCTTTTGCGATTCATATCAGTAGACAATTGAATGTGTTTACGCTACGTAAACTGTCGAAAACCAGCATAAGAGAAATGATAGCTGAACGAAAACTGGCTCGTTGAACATCATCTGAAAATATTAAGGTATTTCATACGTAAGTATTCATTAAAAAAATACACATCTTCTAAAACTTTATGAAAATCTCATAATCAATTATTTAAATGAATTTATATATATATATATATATAAGTAATAATAACATAGGCCCACAAAAAAAAATACCCTGTGAGAGGGATTGAGACCCAGCTATTCGTGTCACGTCATTTCTTGTATTTTGCGTCGCCCAATACGAATCTCACATCAAAATAGGACTGTCCAGAGTAAATTTTCAATCTAGAGCGAAAAAAATGACCAATTTTTCAGCGACTCAAAATATATAAGAATAGCAAGGTCTCCATCCCAGCACAAGGTATTTTTTTGTGGGTCTGTGTAATTAATAATTTAAAAATAGACATTCTTCTCAGAATTAAGTTCAATTTATTTTTGTTTTCTAAATTACTAAAAGAGAAAAATTGAATTGTGATCGTAAAAAGTATCAATTCAAAATGTGATAACTTATTTAAAAAAAGTTCTACTGTAATATATTCATACACTTCAGTTTCATATCATGATTAGAAAGCATTATGCATAAAATATCTCTTCTGGAATTAATATCCACAATAATTATGTGCTTATTTGGATATCACACTATTACGATACACTAGAGATGTAAGAAATGCTCCTATTAGATATGTAAATGTAATTTATTCATGAGAAACTAAACTGTTCTATTCTATTAGAAAATATGTAAAACGATATATAATATAATAAAGATAAATCTAATATTTTAATTTTATTATAGTAAAAGACATTATATGTTTGTGTTAAAACAATTATTGTTAAAATTTATCTTGAATCATTAACATATTCAATTTTTAAAATATTAATTTAACATAAAATGATTGTGTTATAGCATGAATTGTGTTGTTTGAATATTGTATAAAATATTAATATTTAACGTTTTTTAATATTAAAAAAACAATTTATGAATAAGCGAAAAAATAACAATACATTTTTTAAATATAAATTCTAAAATAAATGTGTAAAATGAGAGTGTTAATTTAAATTACAAATATTAATTTTACTCAAGAAATATGCTTTAAGAATTTGCTTTTAAACTATATCAAAGAGTTTTATTTCTTATGCGAATTTTTTAGATAATATTTGCATTGCTTTTTATAACATATTCCATCTTGTGTTATTTTTATATAAAAATTTAAATGGATCGTTGGACATGTGTGTTGAATTTAATACAAATTCTTCAACTGTGTAGAGTTGGGAACTTGATATAGGAAAAATAGTTTCAACACTATTTAAAAATAGTTTTCAACATTAAAAAATTTTGCTATAGTGAGGAATTGTCACAAAACAGATAAGAAATTTTGAAAATTAAAATATGTTAAAATTAAGGAAATTATTGGATTTTAACATTTATTATTATAATTTAGTCAATATTTTTAAAAAGTCTAAAATAGGCTATTACATTAATAGAGAAAAATGCTAAAATAAAATTATCTCATTTTTAAAAAACTTGAATATTTCTGTTTTTCTAAACATTATGTAATCTAAATTATTAAATTGTTTTCATCACTCATAGAAAATTTTAATTTCATATGAATTTATTAATGCAAATATGTGCGGGATATACATATATAACTGACTAATATGTATAATCTACATCACAAAACTGCATATGTGATCGCGTTTTGATTATTGCTCGATTATTGCTCAAATTAATTAAGATCATCATAGGAAAGATATTCCATTTATCTGATTCAACTTTTGGTGAT